AAGAGTTATTCACCCTGAGGTCATCACAGAGGACAAGGGGGCATTCTTTACGTCTGGAGGAAAATAAATTTAATCTCCAAACATGGAAAGGTTTCTTTACAGTAAGAGCTGTGAAAATGTGGAATAGACTCTCTCAAGAGTTTGTTCTGGCCAGCTCAGCGGATTGCTTTAAAAAAAAGGCCTGGATTCTTTCCTAGATACACAGAATATAACTTGATCCTAACATTTATAGGTAAAGTTGATCCAGGGAGCATCCGATTGCCTCTCAGGGAATCAGGAAGAAATGTTTTCACCTGCAGAAGCAAAATGGATCATGCTTTGCTGGGGGGGGGGGGGTTGCCTTCCTCTGGATCAACTGTGGGTATAGGATTATCACTTTTTTTTTTAATGGTTGGACTGGATGGACTTTTGACCTTGTCTTTTTTAAGCCAGACTAACTATGTAACTATGTACAAATAATTATCTAAAAAGTGTGGCGTGAATTTGTATTCAACCCACTTTCTGATACCCCTAACTAAAAGCTAGTGGAACCAATTGCCTTCAAAAGTCGCCTAATTAGTAAATAGAGTCCTTATGTGTCAGTAAAAATCCAGTTGTTCTGTGAAGCCCTCAGAGGTTTGTTAGAGAACACAGTGAGAGCTGTGAAAATGTGGAATAGACTCTCTCAAGAGTTGGTTCTGGCCAGCTCAGTGGATTGCTTTAACCACTAGTCCTGCCCAGCCGTCATTTTACTATAGGTCAGGCGGTACTGTCGTCGATCCGGGAGGGCATCATATGACATCGCTCATATGAGCAGCGCTGTGGCCAGATCTGTCACCGACTGTGTATCTTGGACACAGCAGAAGACAGATCTGTGTACTGGCCCTGTTGCCAGTACCATGTGACCTGATGTGACCAGTCACAGCAAGTCACATGAGAGTTGTAAACAATGGATGGCTTCCTTTCATGCCATCCATTGTATACAAGTGTGTTTAGCTGTGAATGGTCACAGTGATCACATGCACAGGCTGGGCCAAAGGGGATTTGGTTGCAAGGAAGGGGGGCTATGAAAGGGACAGAGGTGCAAGGAAGGGGGGACTGTAAAGAGGATGGAGGTGCAAGGAAGGGGGAGTTGTGCAGGGGACTGGAGAGCAAGGAGGGGGTGAAGGGGACTGGGATGTAAGGAAGGGGGACTGTGAAGGGGATTGGGGTGCAAGAAAGGGGGGGCTGTGGAGGGTACTGGAGTGAAAGCAAGGGGGGCTGTGAAGGGTACTGGGGTACAAGGAAGAGGGGGCTGAAAATGGGATGGACTGCAAGGAAGGAGGGTTGTAAAGGGGACTGGGGGTGCAAGGAAGGGGGGCTCTGAAGGGGACTGAGGTGCAAGGATTGGGGCTGTAAAAGGGACTGGATTGCAAGGAAGGGGGGCTGTAAAGGGAACTTTTTAATTCCATAACCCTGGTGTACACATTTGGGGTGCACGGCCCCTCCACAGGTGAGGGGTCCAGTGATGAGGAATCACTAAAGGCAACCAGCTGTCTTTGGGCCTTGTGAGTACAGAAACCTTTAAAAGGATCCTTAGAGAAGTTTTGCTGCTAAAACCCCTCTGGTGCTAGAGAGCCAGCTGCGGATCTAGTTAAAGCGGTAGTGAAAAAAAAAAAATTCCCTGAAAGGTAATGTCATGATGTGCTAGAATGCATCGCATAGGGGCACATTTGAAAGACTTACCTGAGAATGAAGCCCTCCAGCGGTGCGCTGTCACCACTGTAGAGGCTTTCATCTTCACCCGGTCTTCCTTCCAGGTTCATGAGCTGCAGCCATCTGCCTGGCCAAACCGCGATTAGGTCACTGTCACGCATGCACAAGGGAGTCCCATGCCAAAACAGTGTTGCCAGCAGTGCTCAGCAGTGCTTCCCATCAGTGCCCAACAGTGCTGTCCAGCAGTGCTGCCAATCTGTCCCCGTCAGTGCCGCCAGTAAGTGCTGCCTGTCAGTGCCATCAGTCAGTGCTGTCAGTCAGTGCCGCCAGTCAGTGCTGCCAGTCAGTGTTCTTCAGTGCTACCTATTAGTGTCCATAATTGCCGCCTATCAGTGTCTCATATCAGTGCAGCATCATCAGTGCCCACCATCAATGCCCACCAGTGCCGCCTCATCAGTACATCATATCAGTGCCCATCAGTGCTCTCTATCAGTGCCACCTCATCAGTGCCCATCAGTGCTGCCTATCAGTGCAGCCTCATCAATACACATCAGTGAAGGAGAAAACTTACCTGTTTGCAAAACTTTATAATAGAAACAAAGAAAACCTTTTTTTTTTAAATGTTCACTTTTTTTTTCGTTTATAGTGCAAAAAATTATAATAAAAAACAGTGGTAGTTAAATACCACCAAAAGAAATATCTATTTGTGTGAAAAAAATTATAAAAATGTCATATGTGTACAGGTTTGCATGACCGCGCAATTGTCATTCAAAGTTTGACAGTACTAAAAGCTGAAAAGTGGCCTGGGCAGGACGGGGGTAAAAGTGCCCTGTAGGCAAGTGGTTAAGCTTTGGAGCAACTGCACTTGCACAGTCTGTGCATAGAGGTGCTTTTACAAGCTGAAAAAAAACCCCACCAGCACCTGTAAAACAGCATTTTTTTAAGCCCAGTGTGCGTGAGGCCATCATTATACACAAATTTGAAATCCAATGTTGAAGAAGTAAATTAATATGCTATCATGTTTTAGGACTGTGGGTGGACACCAGGGGCGGACTGACAACTCATGGGGCCCCCGGGCAATAGGGGATCATGGGGCCCCTGTGTCCTTGCCCAAACTCAAAAAAGCCCATGAAAAAGGTACCAGGGGCATCTCATGGGGCCCCCTACCGACCCCCGGCCCTCGGGCAGTGCCCAAGTTTCCAAATGGTCAGTCCACCCCTGGTGGAAACTCATGCAACTGTAAAGGAATACTCTGATTTCCTACAGGTAGGTTGATGGACCAGTAAAGTTTGGTTGTACTACATCATATGTAAAATAGGGACAAGCTTCTTAAATGCCGCCAGTTGTTTTTTGCATTTTCTTGATTTAGACAATACATGACACACCACCATTTTACTTAAAATGATGATCTGACATGGACAGAACCACTGGATGGTGGTTACACAACGTTTTATGTCCTAGGAGTCTTGAAATCAGACTACAAACAAAGCATAGTGGCAAACACATAATAAAACTCTAGACATTTATGGTCAATATGTTTCTTTATGAAATGTAAAGAGCTTAGTCTCCATCAGGATGAAATATGTACACAAGATGTGTTTTATGGATCCTATCCAGCTTTAAGAAGTGTCTGCGTGAGTCACCGTTAAAAGCTAAAGTATAATCGAAGACCCCTACTGTGATATTTCTAGAGGGGTTTCCTATTAATGAAGAACATTGTGTCTTTCTCTTATCTTGCTAATCGAGAGGTTATAGAGTTAAATTGCCTAATTATTGTAATACTGCTTGAGGCATCCTGAAAGAGGATACAGATGGTTTCCAAGTACAGTAATATTTCAGACAATTTTGTTTGAATTGATTTTTATTTTTCCCTCATTTTCTCTGTCCTTTTTTTTTCTTGGAAACTTGTCCCAGCTTTTTCCATCCTTGTTCATGTCTAATGGCTTCTTCTAAAAAAATTGGCAATTTAAATTTTTTTATTTAAAAATAGATCAGTTGCTTTGGGCCAAGCATAAACTGGGAAGGGAGGTATGGAAGAGACCACCATTAAAGGCTCTAAATCTTCTGTAATGCCTCACTAGAAATAGGATACATTGAGCTAGTCAAAATATAATATGCGAAAGTCCCAAAATGATCAGTCCCTTGGAAAAAAAAATTCAACTAGTAAAAATGTGCAATAAATAACTTATTGAATTAGTTTGTTTATTGATATGAAGCTAAATGTTTACTTGTAGGGTAAAAAACATAATTTAATACAACTAAGAATTAATTTAAGATTATCACAAGCATTTTTAAAGCTGAACTTTGACAAAGAGCTAAATACACAACAAAATACATATATGGGAGCTGTTTACATGCTTCTTTTTGCAAAATTGCTATAATACTTTATATTCATATTCACAATATGCTTCTTTATCATAGCCAAAGTTATTATACATTAAAATTAGTAGTGATCCTGCTATTTTCCTGCTTAAGGCAGGGTCCCACCCAAAAGTGGAAGCTCTATTTTTTGCCTCCTCCCCTCCTCCACTGCCATATTTGGCACCTTTTGGGGGGAGGGGAAAGCAGGTACCTGGTTTTGACAGGTACCCACTCCCACTTCCGGCTCAGAAGCCGCGGCGAAGTGAGCCGGAAGCTCTGGCCCATCCTTCCTCCTGCAGTCTCCTGGAAACTTTCACAGGTCCCAGAAGACTGCCGGACCAGTGAGGATGCGAAGCCCGACTCGGGCATGCGCAGTGGGCACCCGGCTGTGAAGCTACAGGCTGTCACAGCCGGGTGCCCACAGTTGAGATGCCGGCGCTGTGGAGAGAAGGAGAGAAGGGACTGCGTGGGTGAGCACATCGCTGGACCCTGGGACAGGTAAGTGTGTGTTTATTAAAAATCAGCAGATACAGTTTTTGTAGCTGCTGACTTTTAATAAACACAAAAACAGCTGGAACTCCACTTTAACCACTTGCCCTCCATAGGATTTACCCCCCTTCCTGACCAGGCCATTTTTGCGATACGGCCCTGCGTTACTTTAACTGACAACAGCGCGGTCATGCAACGCTGCACCCAAATGAAATTTACGTCCTTTTTTTTTCCCACAAATAGAGCTTTCTTTCGGTGGTATTTGATTGCCTGTGTTTTTAATTTTTTGAACTATAAACAAAAAAAATTTCAGCCAAAATGTATTCTGCTACATGTCTTTGCTAAAAAAAAATCCCAATACGTGTAAATTATTTGGTTTTTGTGAAAGGTATAGTATTTACAAATGGCGGTATATATACTGGAATTGTTTTTTTTCAACTAGTAATGGTGGAGATCAGTGACTTATAGCAGGACTGTGGGACTGTGGCGGGCATTCTGACACTGGGGGGAACTGACTTGGTGTCACTGACATCCCCAGTGACACCAGTACAGTGGTCAGTGCTAATAAAAAAGCATTGACACTGTACTAATGACACTGGGCAGGAAGGGGTTAACATCTCGGGTGATCAAAGGGTTAACTGTGTGCTGTTTCACAGTATGCTGTGTGTGTGCTTTCCACTGTAAGCACACTGCTTTGTATGGCTCAGTGAGCAGGAGCTGACAGGGGAGAGAACTGTATTATTTACATATAGTTCTCTCCCCTGTCAGTAATACTCGGCGATCACTGGGTTCAGGCAAGTAATCACCGGACGGGATCTGATGATTAATAGCCGAGGCCGCGAAAAGGTGGTGTGGGTAAGCGCCCCTACCCGGAAATGCAAAATCATGTATATATACGTGATTTTCTCACGCGTGCCGCCCTTTAGCTGTATTTCTGCTATAGGGCGGACGGGAAGCGGTTAAGCAAATTTGCTTGCAACGTGAACAGCCTTTTTGTCTTTAGTAAATCCACCCACCCACCAGCATCCCACCTTAGAAATTAATTGAGAGGGGGCGTGGCCGGCCGCGGATGGAGATGGCCACATAGAACATGAGCTCCGGGACCCGCCCGCATATACAGCGACTTACCACGACGGGGGACGGAGCTGACAGTTCCCTCCCTGCCTGGTGCCTGTCTTAATAGTGCGGGACCAGATCAATCAGGATGGGGAAGCGCAGGATCAAAGAGGGGCCCCACAAAGTAACGGAGTTCTTCACTCCGGCGGGCGGCCCCTCCTGCTTCCAAAATGGCGCTGGTCCCTGTACCTCTCCCTCACCACAGCCATATATGGCAGAGGAGAGGTAGCGCTCACGTATACAGCCTCCTAGCCCTACAATACCAGCAATACCTGCAGGAACTACACCTGCCAGCAGTCCTCCTAAGCAATAACAGCGCTGCTCCCTGGATCCACAGCAGACTGGTGAGCATGCCACTGATTCATTTTCTCATTCTAATACCACAGAGTTTGTTGAGCGTTTGGAAGATTACCCTGCTGAAAATCTGCCCCTAACTGCCGCTGTCATGAAGGATATGCTTGTTACTCTTGAAGGTTCCTTGCACAAGGACATGATGAGTTTTGTTACACGGGTGAATGCAGAGGTTGAACAGCTGGGTGAGCGGATCAATCATGTGAAACGAAGATGGGTGAATTTGCGACTGCTCACAACGAATTGGTGGACGCACACAATGATGCGGAAGAGGAATTGAAGGAGGATCTTGAGGATCGCTCACACAGGAACAATGTTAAGTTTCGGGGGGTGAGCAAAACAGCCCCTGTCGCTGACCTGAGATGGTATATTCAGCAATTAATTACAGCATTATTGCCGAGTCTGTCTGAAAGAGATGTAATTGTGGATAGAGTGTATAGACTGCCGAAACCTTCCTTTCTCCCTGACCATGTCCCCAGGGATGTCATCGCTAGAATCCACTTTTACCACACAGTGTTGAGTTTTGATGGGGACGATGGAGGGGCTCCGCCTCTAGTCCATCACCGTCGTTTATTTGGCAGTGTCGTTTGCCTTCAGCGTTTGGTCCCAGAAGTTATCCCCCAACTTGTTGCAGTGACTTGGTTCAACTGTTCTACCTTCAATGGGTGTGTGTGTTTTTATAGGTTATTTCCAATTTTCTTTTCTCTCTCTCTTTCAACATTCTGCTTTTCCTAACAGGTTAGTATTGGCCCAACTGCTTTAGCTCAGTATTCCCATAATCTTATCTGAAATCAGGCCTCTTATGCTTTATTCAGCTGAAAATTAAAACATGTCATATCTATTCTGTATGCTTTAAAATGGTGTTGAATATTGTATCTATTAATGCTCATGGGCCTTAACAACCCATTTAAAACGCAGTATGTTGTGGAAGGAGGCAAATAAGCTACAGGGGGATATTCTTTGTGTGCAAAGAAACTCATTTCTCGGCACTGAAGGCCCCCACGCTGTTCCCGAAAAATTGTTTCCCCCATGTGTTTACAGCTGATGCCTCCCAGAAAATATGTGGGGTCCTGATTGCTATTAAACAGTCCGTAGCATTCTCTCTTCTTTCCCTGGAGAGAGATAGGAAGGGCAGGTTTTTAATAATGGTGTGCGAACTTAATAACACTCTTTACACAATTGTGAACGTTTATGCTCCCAACACTAACCAAATTTCGTTTTTTAAGTCACTACGGAAAAAAGTTAAAAAAATTCAGAAAGGTTATCTACTTTATTGTGGCGATTTCAATGCTATTGTCCATAGATCATTGGATGTTTCGGGGCAGTCACGGGGAGTGCGTTGCTTGATGGCGTTGACCCTTAGGGAGTCCAATCTCTATGATCCCTGGAGGTGTCTCCATGATTTAGAGAAAGACTTTACATATTACTCGTCACCTCATAAATCCTATTCGACAATAGATTATTTCTTGACCGATTTACAATTTCTTCAACATATAATTAAAGTGACCATTCATCCTATGACGTAGTCAGATCACGCACCCCTATCCCTAAGTAGAAAAGAGAATTTAAAGTTTTCACCGGTATTCCTGTGGCACAATGGCTCTTCTATGTTCCTCAACTCTAGTAGCCGTGCTCTTATCTCTAAATCGTTACAGGAGTATTTCACTGTTAATGCCACTTCAGACACGGATGTATTTAACATGTGGTGTGCACATAAGGCCGTATGCCGAGGTGTGATGCTCCAGTTGGCTTCCAGGGAGAAGAAGCGCAGGCAAGGTGCTCTGTCAGAAATTTTAGCTTAGATTGCTAGTTTGGAATCCCAACATAAGCAGAATCTGTCAGCTACAGTGCTAAGGAACTTCTCTTACTCCTACATGAAAAATATCTTCGAAGGGCCAAGGCTAATTACTACACCCAGGGTAACAAGGCCGGTAGGCTGTTGGCCTCTTTCATCAGGCGAAAGCCAAAATCCCTTCTATGATAGATCCCATTTCGCTGAAAAAAGTTTTCCATCCTAACAAAATTGCTGAGGCATTTTGAGCCTACTATGCTCAATTGTACAACCTCAAAGATGACCCAAACACACATCAACCTACCCCTGCTCTTATTGAGAGTGTTTTTGAGGGTCTCTCTCTACCTAAACTGGATCAGTCTAAATTGGAGATTCTGAACCAACCTATATTAGATAGTGAAGTGAGAACCGCCATTAAAGCATTGCCGAAGGGGAAATTGCTTGGGGCGGATGGGTTCACTGCAGAATATTATAAGGAATTTCAAGACATCCTATTGCCCCATCTTAAAAGGGTGTTCCTAGAAGCAGCCAGTACGGTGACCTTTCCCCCTGAGATGTTGAAAGCAATTATAGTTACCTTACCTAAACCAGGCAAATCTCCAGATTGTCCTCAACATTTTCGTCCCATATCCTTACTGAATATGGACCTAAAAATCTATGCTAAAATCTTTGCTACTAGATTATTAACAGTGACCCCTTCTCTTATCCAGTCTGACCAAGTGAGTTTTGTTAAAGGAAGGCAGGCAGAAGATGGCACACGTAGAGTGCTTAATTTGTTTTGAATTGCCGAACTCCGTAACTCGCAAACTGTATTTTTTGCCCTGGATGCTGAGAAGGCTTTTAAAAGAATTCATTGGCAATATGTTGACTCTACTCTTGGCAATTTTGGTATGCAGGGGTACATTAAATCAGCTATTACGGCATTATATACTGAGCCCTCTGCGCAAGTTTTTACTTCCAATGCTATGTCAGATCCTTTTTCAATTACCAACGGGACTAGACAGGGATGTCCTCTCTCCCCTATCATTTTCTCTTTAGCGATGGAGCCCTTGGCGACAGCTATTAGATTGAACCCTTGATTTCCGGTATACAGACTGCACATATGGCTCACAAGATCGGTCTATTTGCGGATGATGTTATTCTCACTATGATGGACCCCTTGACTTCCCTGACAGCAATTTCCTCCACCTTGGATACGTTTAGCAGGGTTTCCTACTATAAACTCAATATTACCAAATCTTGTGCGCTTCCTATCGGTATTTCAAGGAAAGTTTTACAATGCCTGCAGGACAGGTTCCGGTATAGTTGGTCCTCTAAAAGTCTGCACTACTTGGGTATTCGTGTATCCTTTCCTTCTTCTAATATGTTTAGGGATAATTACGAGACACTGCTTCAGGCACTTTTAAGGGAGTTGGCGGCCATTGGGAAAACAGAGCTCTCCTGGTTGGGTAGGTTAGCGGCCTTTAAGATGCTGAATCTGCCTAAACTTTTATACTTTTTCAGAACAATTCCGATCATCATTCCCCAGTCATATTTTCATAAAGTAGATGTTGCGTTGAAAAAATATATTTGGAATGGGAGGAAAGCTAGAATTCCCTTTTCTGCTCTCATTAAACACAAATCTAAGGGGGGGTAGGTCTCCCTGTAATCGCCACCTATTACTATGCGGCATTATTGGATCAACTCCAGCATTGTTTTTTTTCCCTCGGATAAGTTATGGGTACAAATAGAGAGGAGTACAGTCCCGGCTCAGGACCTCCAGGCATTATTATTTGCAAAAGTTATCTCTCCGAAGTTAATTTGTACCTATCTTCCTTTGATCTCAGCAACTTTGGATGCCTGGCTACTGGGTCTATCTAAATCTGCTTTAGCTTTCCCTAAAATAAGGTGGGACTTACCATTGGCAACCTATGACCATATCATCCCTAATCTTAATACGAAGCCTATGCGAGATGCAGGTTTTTATATTATTTCAGATATCACTACTCTGCATTCAAGAGGAAGCCTTTATCCATATCTTCAGATCTGGGCTTATTTTGGTGCCAATCCCAACGCATGGGTGGAGGTGGATGCAAAGATATGGCAAGCTCTGGCGAATCCATTGGGACTGAAGAAGGGCATATCGTGGTTCTACAAATTTTTTGCAACATGATTCAGATAACTCTGTGTTAACGTGTGTAGGTAAAAGGGAGAGAGATCTGCATAGACCTTGTACTCCAGAGGACTGGCAAGTGGCTTGGTCCTGTAATATCAGTCTTTTGAAATGCACTAATCATTGGGAAAGTTCCCTAAAAATTCTACATCGCAGCTATCTAACCCCATTTAGACTCTCAAAACTTTATCCTGATACATCTCCTTTTTGTTGGAGGAATTGTGGTGGTATTGGCACTTTGCTGCATGTGTTGTGGGAATTGTGGATATATCCGGAATTTCTGGAAAGAGGCGTTTAATCTGATTTCTCGGGTGTCTAGAGTATACACAACTCCCAATTCCCCTTTGGCGTTAATAAATCTTACGTTGAATGTATTTCCATTCCAGTCCCGCACAGTGGTTGCTCACATTTTAATTGCAGCTCGATTAACTCTTACTAAAGCATGGAAATCCACTGCATCTCCTCTAGTTACGGAG